TATCTATCCATCAGCCATTTTCTTGTGTGTATATATAATATATTTGCATTGGTGTGTATGTATGAGTTTTTGTATGTACCTTTGTGTGTACACATGCACATGTCTATAAATGTGCGTCTTTGCATGTGCGTAAGTGTATGGGTGTATGTGTAATATTATTGTTCTTTATTACATTTGCATGCCTTCTTCTCCTCTTCTCCGTGATCAATTTTCCCTCCTCCTCCTCCTTTCCTTTCCTTACATCTTCCCCATTTCCCCTCACTTTAACCCCCTACCCTAACCCATCACCTCCCCCCCTCCCTTTACCCTTCCCCTATGTCCTCACCTCCCCCCCCACCTCGCTTTACCTCTCCCCCAAATCCTCACCTCCCCCTCCCCCTCGCTTTACCCCTCCCCTAACTCATCACCTCCCCCCTCCCTCTCCCTTTACCCCTCCCCTAAATCCTCACCTCCCCCCCCCCACCTTGCTTTACCTCTCCCCCATGTCCTCACCTCCCCCCCTCCATATTCCCTTCCCATGAACTCTCTGCCTCATCCTCCCCCCTTTCCCTCTCCTCCCTTACCTCACCTATCCTATCTCTTCATCCCCTCCTCTTTCCCTCTCCCCCTAACACTCCCCCCCTTTTTTTCCCTTTCCCTGCCCCTATCTCCCTTCCCTCATTCCTCTCTCCCTTACCCACTCACCAGCCCTACCTACCCACCTACCCACCAATCTCCCCTGCCCGCCCACACACCTACCCACCCAACCAATTATCCACCCACCACCCACCCCACCCCACCCACCCATCCACCACGCCCCCCCCCCCCTACCCCACCACCATCTCCAACGCCCACCCACCCTCCCCCCACTCACCCTCAATCTCCCCCTCCCACCCACCCACTCGCCCCCCCATCCACCCCACTCCCCCATCTCCCCTGCCCACCCCCCATCAACCACTCCCCCCCCACCCACCCATCCACCCAACCCCCCATCTCCCCCCATCCACCCAACCCCCCATCTCCCCCCATCCCCCCCACCCTCAATCTCCCCCTCCCCACCCCCCCACCCCATCTCCCCCACCCCACCCACTCGCCCTCAAGCACTCTGATCCCTAGAGACGAAGCACAAAGCCTTTAACTTAAACATTGTTCGGGAATGTCTGAATCTCGTCCTTGTGTCTTGGGGACTTGGACGAAAAAAAAAGAAAAAAAAAATAGAAATAAAAAAAAGAAGAAGTCTACTAGAAGGACTTGGACAGCGTCTTTTGTTGCTGTTCGGGGGCGGCGGTTGCGTTCCCTCTGCTGTCTGTGAGGCTGTTGCTGTCGGGTTGTCTTTAAGGTCGTTTGTCTGTTGTCTGTCTGTTTAAGATCGTTTGTCTCTAATGGTTGTCTCGAAATTTGTCTCTAAGTCGTTGTCTGTCTGTTTAAGGTCGCTTGTCTCTAATGTCTGTCTCGAAATTTGTCTCTAAGTCGTTGTCTGTTGTCTGTCTGTTTAAGGTCGTTGTCTGTAATGTCTGTCTCGAAATTTGTTTGTCTCTAAGTCGGGTTTTCTTTAAGTTCGTTTGTCTGTAAGTCTGTTTGTCTTTAAGTCTGTTTCTAAACGTTTGTCTTTATACCTGTCTTTCTATAAATAGGTGTCTCTTCTAAGTCTGCTTTTTTTAAGCTTGTTTGTCTTTAAATCTGTGTTTAAACGCGAAAGTCTATTTGTCTTTAAGTCTGGTTTTCCCTTAGGCTGTTTGTCTCTTAAACTGTTTGTCTCTAAACCTGTCTTCCTATAAATGGTTCTCTCTTTGTCTGTTTGTCTTTAAACTCGGCCTTCGGTTGTCTCTAAGCCTGTGTCTCTACATCTGTTTGTCTCTTAGTTGTCTTTTTGTCTTTTGTCTGTTTGTCTTTAAGTGTGTTTGTGTCTAGGTCCATTTATCTCTGACTGTCTTTAAACCTGTCTTTCCCTAAATGTTTGTTTCTCCTTCTGTTTGTCTCTAAAGCTGTTTGCCAATACGTTTCTTCGTCTGTGTGCGTTTGTCTGAAAGTCCGTTTGTCAGTACGTTTGCTTGTATGTCTGTCTGTATCTGTACGTTAGTCTGAAAGTCTGTTTGTCAGTACGTTTGTTTGCATGTCTGTCTGTCTGTACGTTTGTCTGAAAGTCTGTCAGTACGTTTGTTTGAAAGTCTGTTTGTCATTACGTTTGTTTGCCTGTCTGTCTGTATCTGTACGTTTGTCTGAAAGTCTGTCAGTACGTTTGTTTGAAAGTCTGTTTGTCATTACGTTTGTTTGCCTGTCTGTCTGTATCTGTACGTTTGTCTGAAAGTCTGTTTGTCAGTACGTTTGTTTGTCTGTCTGTCTTTTTGTCTTTATATCTGCTTACCTCCAACCCTGTCTTTGTCTCTGTCTCTCTGTCTTTTCTGTCTGTTTGCCTCTATGTCTTTTTGTTCTTATTTGTCTCTAAATTTGTCTATCTCTAATTCAACCATCTATTTATTCATCTTCCCAATTATCTATCTAGTTATACATATATAATCATCTCTATCTATAATTACGTATATACACATATACCTGTTCCCACGCCCTTGCTCGCTTCAAACTTTCCAGAAACACACCAAAAAAAAAAAAAAAACGAAAAACAAGGAACTGAAAATCGCTGCATCTCCACTAATGAATAAACATATATGCATAAGCGTGTGCATGTTTGTTTGCAGATGCGTATCCCTGTGTGACTTGCTCTCTGGGTCCTCTCGTCTAAACCGCTTTCGGACATGTGAATCTAAAATTCCTTTTGTCCTTCGTAAAGCAAAGACTGAGGGAGAGGATCTGATTCAGGAATGTTATGCTTCAAGAAATTGGATAATATAGAGAAGATGATGAAAGTGACTTCTTCATTGCCCTTCGTGCTCTGTTTGTTTGTCTGTCTGTCTGTCTGTTTTTGTTTGTTTGTATTTTGGTTTGTTTGTTTGTTTGTCTCTGTCTGTCTGTCTGTCTCTCTCTCTTTGTCTCTCTCTCTCTCTCTCTCTCTCTCTCTCTCTCTCTCTCTCTCTCTCTCTCTCTCTCTCTCTCTCTCTCTCTCTCTCTCTCTCTTTATCTCTCTGTCCCTCTCTCTTTCTGTCTTTCTCTTTCTCTCTCTGTCTCTCTCTCTGTGTCTCTGTCTGTCTGTCTGTCTGTCTCTTTCTCTCTCTCTCTCTCTCTCTCTCTCTCTCTCTCTCTCTCTCTCTCTCTCTCTCTCTCTCTCTCTCTCTCTCTCTCTCTCTCTTTCTCTCACTGTCTCTCTCTTTTTCTTTACCCCACTTCCCTGGAGAGTTACAAATAGCGTCAGAGAAAACGAGCACGTATATAGAAAATGAGATGTCGTAAAATAGGAATAAATGAAAAGAAAACGGGAAGAAATCCTGATTACCAAGGAAAAGAAAACGGATAAAAGTGCAAAATCAAATTAGTGTGTCTTATTGTTTAAAGGACGAGGAGCGTTAGATGTTCACTTGTTTTAAAACGTTTTTCTTTTTTTTTTCGTTTTATCAGAGAGCTTGAATTTTGCATAAAAGCAGGTTAAGTTATAGAGTTAATTAGAGTGATTAAAATGGAACAGACCTACTGTTTCTTAATCAGGAGGAAGAAAATTAAATATAAAGGAAAATGTACCTGCAGAAAGCAACAACAGTGTGCATTTCTGCATTTACATATACATGTAGTTAGATAGATAGATAGAAATAGATACAGATATATAAATACAAATATAGATATAAATTTAGATATGCATATATATGAATAACAAAATTTGTAATATTGACATGCGGTATATTAACAGATGAATTTTAAAATAATGAATAAATAGATAGCAAAGTAAAATTAAAACATACAAGGCAATAGCAGCACATAGCAATTTTGTAACAAATATCACCAATTCAAACCAAGCCAACTCAAGCTAAACTACCAGCCTCAACTAACCAATTTAATTATAAATGTTGCATCCGCCGGCATTCGAATATATTCAGGGATACCCTAGATGGCAACACGCTTAAGCTAACGGCGCTGATTGGTTGAAAATTGATGCGTTTGATATCATTTCTTTATTACTATTTTTTTACGTTTTGTCTTAAGTAATATTTTCCTTATCTCTTCTAGTAAAAAAAAAAAAAATGTAGGGATTATATTACACAATCTCGCCAACATCAGTCACATAACTGTACTTGAGCTGAGACTATGACAAGCGGATGTTTAAATAACGAAGTCAACTATAAACATAATCAAAGACGTTTAAACAGAAATTAGACATGTTGATTATTGATAGAAACAATTTTTTTATATTGATATTAATGGCACTTATTTATTTGCTACCCATCGGAGGCACTAGAGCCGTTTCAACCAAACATATCAACTAGTCAACTCAACAGACCAAACCAACTAGTCAATTCAATCAACCAGATCGATTGATCAACCGAAATAGCAAATTCAATTGAGTGAAACAATCGGTTGACTTAACTAGCCAACGTAAATGGCCAACCCAACTAGCTTTTACAACTAGCCAGTTCAACCAGCCAATACAATCACGCAATTTAGCAACATAGCAACTCAGCAACTTAGCAACTTAGCAACTTAACTATCCAACCCAATCAACCGAACCAATTAACGAGGCAACCTCATTAATTCAACTCGCCAGCTGTTCATACACAACTAACCAAACCATCTCAGCCAAACAACCTCATTACCTAACCAATTCAATCTAACCACAAAAAAATAATACTCAACCTAAAATCAACTCAACCCATAGTAATATATGTATTTTTTTCATCCAATCCGACCTAAACTCCTCCACCCCCTCACCCCCACCCCCCAAAAAAGGGGGAAAGACTGAGAAACGCCAAGAAAAAAGAGAGAGAAAAAAAAGAATCTAAGAAAAAAAATCAAGAAAAAGAGAGAAAAAAAAGAAAGAAAAAAAACGAAAACAAAAATAAATAATAATAATACACACATACAAATCTACAAATCTACACATACATACACACCCACAAGCCCAACCCACTGCAACTCAC